TGTTGGTCTTCCTGCTTCTGTGTCTGCGTATCTCCCTCAACCCAGCCACCCCGCTCGGCCCTCCCACTCACTGTCCACCGTCCTCCTTGGGGCCCTCCCACTCACTGTCCACCGTCCTCCTTGGGGCCCTCCTTTCCCCTCCCTCCCACCAAAGGCTCTCTCCCAACCCCCATCTCCCCCATCTCCCCCATTCTCTCTCCTCCCCCTCCTCTCAGCCTCTGTCCCCCACTGACCCCCACTGTCTTTCCCTCTCTCTCCCCCAGCTCTATCTCTGTCCCTCCCACTGTCTTCCCATCTCTGTCCCCCAGCTCTACCTCTGTCCCTCACTCCTTCCCCCCAACTATCTTACCTCAAACAGATGCTAACTGTCCCCCCTTGCCCTACACCTGCTTGAGAGCGCAGTGCGGTCCTTGAGTGGGAAGCACGGTGCTCTATGCAGGCCAGCCTGGGGCCCTGCACCTGGGAGCCCTTGCCCAGCTTCCACTGGCCAGCAGGGAGAGGACAGGCCAGGGATCACAGAGTGGACAGCAGGGGCCACAGGCTTGGGGGGTACTGACCAGTCTGGGAGGCCTGGGGTCTTGGGGAGCTGGGCTGGGCCACTGTCTGCACAGCCATACTGGAGCCCAAAGCCATGATCACAGGCTCTGTGCTCTCTGTGCACAGGTATGGTCATGTGTCTGAGGGCATCTGGCAGGGGGACACCCCTGCTCAGAGCCCCCTGCTCTAGTCCCTGTGTGCCTGGTTCCCGCTATGTCTGCCTACCATCTGTGACACCCTGCACCACGTTGCTTCCTGACCACAGCCCTGGGCCACCTCTGCAGCCATCTGGAGCCCTGGGCCGGAGAGCGAGGGCACTTCCAGCCTGCAGGGACAGGCTTCCCACACGGGGCGGAGCAGGGCCTGCATGCGGCTTCCAGGAGGCCGGTTTGGGCCAGTTGGTGCCCCCCACCTCTACACATCCATGGTTGGCACAGGCTGGGGAGACCCTGGACAGGATACCTGCCTCCTTCAGGACGGGAGAACCCAGAGACCCTCGGCCACAGCCCCCTCCCCCACAGCCAAGGAGAGCTGCCTCTCAGGGTTCCAAGCACCCAGCCCGACAGGGTGGCAGGCTGTAGTGGACCCTGTGGGGTGCTGCCGGGGGCCCCCATAATGACCAAGGCACATGCTGCCTGCCCTTCCTGCCAGAGTTCACAGCCCAGCCCAGAGCCCCTCTGGACTTGCCCTCAGCAAGTGACACAGGGCATCAGGGACCGTGTGTCCGTGGTAACCTGTGTTCTCGGCTGTGTCATCTCAGCGCAGAGGCCCCACGGGTACGGAAGCTGATCCCTCGGCCCTCCCCGCTCTGCTAGTACCATTGAGGGTAAGATTCCCAAGCACACTCCTCGGGAAACCCCTGCATGCAAGCCTCCCTCTCAGAGACTTCTGGAAGCCACCCCGAGGCCGGGGTGTGAGCCTGCCCGAGCACCAGGGCAGCCCTGCCCTTGGCCGCACCGGCAGCCCCAGGGAGAGGGTCCAGGCCTGGGGCTGCAGAGGGTCTGCTGACCACCTGCAGGAGGAAGGGCATCAGAGGAAATTGAGAACTGGCCCCAGCTCGGGAGAGCCTGGAAGGAGGCAGAGGCATGTGGGGGAGCCCATCTTCCCATGAATCGGGGACACCTCACGGTGGAACAACATGGCCTGCGAAGCCATGATGGGGTGAGCTGAGGGCAGGTGCTAGGAGGACGCTGGGAGGGACGGCCCGCCACACAGACGTGGCGATGGGCGCCAGCACATCAGGCATCTTGTGTGCAGCAGGGTCTCTGAAAGGGTGGCGAGGACACCTCCGCTCTGAGAGGTGTGTGGTCCCAGTCCTGTGTGTGGGGGGGGTCTCTTGGTCGTCAGTGTCATTTCTGCCCTCCTGTGTACCCTTCCGGGGAGGCAGGAGCTGGAAGACCCCTTCACTGCCAGCTCATGAGATGGAGAGGCTGCTTCCCCCAGCGGGTTTCATGTGGTTAGACTTGGGGGGCCACTATCTGGATGGTCACTTGGGGAATGTGGGCAGTAGTTTCCTGAAGCACTGACCTTCTGGTCGGAGGGACACTGTATTCCTCTGCCCCCCTTACTGGGGCCCCTGGGGTGCCCAAACCCTGCCATGCCCCTGCACAGGGGGAGCTGGAGGCTGGGCAGCAACCCCACACCTGCACCTGTTCCCCAAGACCCTGCAGAGCCCCCTTGCTGTGGTACTGCCTCTGGTTGATACACCCTGGCCCCGTAGAAGATAGACACGTGTTCTTAGAGGTTTCTCTGCTGCACAGCAGTGGGTGGGTCCCCGATAACAGGAGGCCAAGCTCAGCTCTGCCCATGGGTTGCCAGCCTCCTCCCTTAGACTACTTTCTCTTGAGGCCAGCTGCAGCCAGGCTCCAACCCCCAGCAGGGACAGAGAGCCTTCATGGAGAAGCAAGCTGCCCCAGAGGAAAGAGCCACAGACAAGGGACATCGGCCGGATGACACACAGACTATTAGGAATCAGGTGTCACGGTCCCCCCAGGAGTACCTTCCTTCTGTGTGCAAATTCCTGGATATGTACAGCTGTGTCTCACGCAGCTCTCTGGTTGGACACACCCCGGTCCTGGGCCGTTCTCTGGGTCCCTCCCCATCATGGCCCTGCTCTCCATAGCCATCCTGATCTGTCTGCTGCTCGGAGACCACAGATGCCACCACCTCCTGCTTCATCTGCTGGAGGTGAAGGCACCTCCCTTCACTTGCTGCTCACACTTCCTCTGGCTGCTGCCAGGCCCTCACCAGCCTGTACCCTCCAGACCCTCTCCAGGTGACTATGGCATGGGACAGAACAGTGTCCCTAGCCAGATAAAATACCCTAGAAGTAAGCCTAGCAGAAGGAGAACAAACTGGTGTCCTCCCACATTCTGGGCCCTATACTCCTGTTGATGCAGCCTCAAAGTGAGCCTGCTTTCAGATGCCTGTTGCTTGCTAATTAATGGTGAGCCCAGTCCTGACCAGTGTGCCCAACTGCCCCGTAAGCCATCTGGGCCAGAGTGGGGTGGTGTTAGGGCAAATGTATTCCACGTGGTCTGGCCCGGCCCAGAAGTCTCTCAGAGTGTGTGGACCATGATTAGTGTCCAAAAGTCAGTTCTTTGGATGTTTAACATCTGTGATTTTTGCCTTGGCTCCTTTTCTTGCTCCTTTGGGAATTTTGTGAAAATCCAGCTGCCTGCACTTGCTGGGAGTCAGGAGCGGCCTGAGGGACAGAGGGTGCACCCATCCCCTTCCCCAGCCACAGATGGGGGCCAGCAAGGGGGAGCCATGGGGGCCCCCCTCAGGAGGCTGGTGTCCTGGGAGCATAGCCAGCTGCCTCCACCACCCAGCAGCTCCAGCCCCACCACCAGGAGACCCCACAGAGGTCTCCTCCCAGTGCCCCCGCCCTCCCAAGGACAGCCCTGGCGAGCCTAGAGCACGGGAGAACACCCGGGAGCTGGGCCAGTCTCAGCTCCGACCCGTGCAGCTTGCACTGCTCCCTGGGCCCAGAGTGAGGTTCAGAGTTCTTAACACAAGGCTCAGGAAGCTTCTGTCATGGGGCCCATCAGCCTTTGGTCTAAAGTTCTGTTCCTGTATGGCTGCTCCCCACTGGCCCTTGGGTGTCCCCCTCCTAGAGCCTACAATGCTGAGCAAGCAGGGAGCAGGGGGGTGGAGCTGAATCCCAGGCCCTATTCTCCCTCTCTCCCTGGATCCCCAAATCTGGCCAAGGACGGCCCTGGATGTCTACACCTGGCCCTGGCTCGCTGCTCAGCCCAGTGGTCATCCCATCCTACAGTGAGAAACCTTCTCTGGACCCTGTGGTCCCTTGGAAAAGGAGAACACTGGAGGGTCAGGGCGGTAGAGGTTGGGGCCTGGGAATTGTCCACTTGGCCAGACCCCCGGAAGGGCGGGGTTGTGATGAGGGGCCTGGTGCCAGGTGTGGAGGGTGCCACTGGAGGTCATGAGTGGGGAGCACTGGATGGGGTGAGGGGTGTGGGGAGTCATGGGGAGCCCGGGATGAGGTTGGGAACATGGGGCTAGGGGTGCAGGATGGGGGCAAGAGAGGGAGGTGGTCTGCCTGTGGGGGGTCGGCCCAGCAGTCCTTGCTCACACCTCCCCTGCTTCCACATGGCTGCATTCCCCCTGGCCCTGCTCCACCCAACAAGCCTGGACATCTTTATGCCTTCTCAGGACAGAGTGCTGCCTGGCCCGGCCCTGGTGCATGTCGAGGGGGCAGGGTCGGCACTCCCTACCCTAGGTGACGAAGGGCAGGGGTCCCCAACGGCAGGTGGGCATCTGAGCTCCAGCATAGGACAGCCGTGGATTGAGCTGCACAGGCCCCCTGAGCGCCCCATCCCTGAGCAGAGGTCCCCTGAGCGTGGACCTCCCTGAGCAGGGACCACTCCCCGCGGGGCCCCTGAGGGACTGCCTCAGCTGCAGGGGCCCAAAGCCAGGACATTTGGGCTCCGAGCACACAGACAGAAGAACAGGATAGGGAGGCTCTTTGGTGCCCAGGGAGGCAGGTGGGCTGGGGTTCGAAGCCAAGCCCTTTGGGCCAGCACCACAGGGGGCCCCTAGAAGGCCCTGGTAGTTCCAGCCTGAGTGGGGGTGCCCAGGCCCATGCAGGGAGGCCAATGAGGGGTTAGGGTACAGCTCACACCAGCCTGGTCACCCCCACCCCCGCCTGAGGACCTCCAGGTTCTGCAGCCCCCAGGCAGGGTCCTCCAGCTTCCCTGAAGAAATCATGAAGGGACCGTGCCCCCTCGACAGACCTTGGCCCCTTCCCCACTGTCCCCCAGCCCACCGCCAGCCCATTGCATCTGTGCAGCCCCTACAGGGGGTCGAGCGGTCTTGATTCTTCCTTGGCAGGAGGAAAGCAGGCCGTGGGCCTTTACCATGGCCCTTCCGGGAGCTGCCCATAGGCCCCTGGAGACCTGCAGATGGCTGGGAGTGGGCCGGGGGCTGGGAAGCAGGTGGGGGGGCCCAAGGAGAGCCCCTGGATGGAGAGTCCTTGAGATCCACCTAGAAAGACACCCCAGCCTCCCACCATGAGAGCGTGGGGGACACGTGCACTGCACTCACACAGCCTTGACAGTCCAGGCCCAGCCCTGGGGGACAGCAGAAGGCTGCCCACTGAGGCCTCACAGCACAGAGCAAGCATGCACTCCAGTACCCCAGGGGTACCAGACTCTGAGCGCTCCAGGGTTGGCCCTGTCCAAGATTGGCCTCACTCAGCCTTCAGGCCTCCTGCTCTGGTCCTGACCCTCTTCCATCCCAGGGGTTGGGACAACTCTGCCTCAGGGTCCGTGCCCGCACCCTTTCCACCCTGCCAGGCTCCTGGAGCATGCCCAACGGCCACAGTGAGTTCAGGGATGCCCCAGAAGGCAGGGCCTCCCGGAGAGCCTGGGACCTGGCCCATGTGTCCACGACTTGTTCTAGGCAAGGGTCACAGAGAGGGAGTTCTCATTCCTGTGGGCCTTGGCAATGGGCATCGAGGCCAGTGAAGACGCCTCCTGGAAATCCTTGGCCATGAAGTAGTAGCAGATGGCGTCCAGACAACAGTTGGCATCCGAGAGCTTGCCTGTGATGACGAGCGCATAGCAGATGGCAGAGGTGTTCAAGCTCGTGGCCACGACCACCATCAGCACCACGTGAATGGGTAGGAAGCAGACCACGAACACAGCCAGGTTCGTCCAGACTATGCGGGTGGCCCTCCGGGTCGCCTCTGCCTGGTCCGGGGTGGCTGTCGGCCTCTGGCCCAGGGCAGTGACCACGCGCAGGGAGCAGAAGACCAGCACGGCCAGCGGCAGGAAGAAGCCCAGCAGGGAGAAGAACATGGTGTTGGAGCTTTGCCGGGACGCATTCGAGAAGCAGAAGCCGCCCTCCTGCATGCCCAGGGCCCAGCGCAGCCCCAGCAAGCCGGCCACCAGTGCCCAGAGCGCCGCGCACACAGCCGCAGCCTGACGAGGGGAGCGGAGTGCCCGGGCACGTAGCGGGTGCCGCACGGCCACATAGCGGTCCACGGCGATGGCTGTGATCAGGCTGATGCTCATGTACCTGTTGGCCAGGTAGGCACCCTGGGAGAGCTGGCAGAAGGGCGTGTCTGTGGTCCTCTCCTTCAGGGAGTGTAGGAAGAAGGGTATGGCGCAGAGCAGGCAGAAGTCGGCCACTGCCAGGTTGACCATGTAGATGCGGGTCTCAGTCCACCGCCGCATACGGCTGCAGAACACCCAGAGCGCCAGGCCATTGAGCAGCAGCCCCAGACCCAGCAGCAGCCCCGTGTAGGTAGAGAGGACGGTCTTGACCAAGGGGGGCCAGGTGAGCTGTTTGGAGACACAGGTGCTGTTGCTCATGGTCCCGCTGCTGAGGGCGAGAAGCAGAGGATAAGGATGGCAGGCAGGGAAGGGGGGCGTGGGGTTGGCAGGGCCCCACCCACCTCCAGCCCACATCCAGGAGCCAGACTCACCTTCCCCAAGAAAATCATAGAAATCATCAGGAGCTGCGTGTCACCCTCCAGGCCAGACCCAAATCCCCACGCACTGGATTGAGAGGGAAACCCAAAGCTCTCAGAGGCTGGGTCGGTGGGGAGGGGGGGAAGCCGTGGCAGGGGGCAGGGTCACACAGCCAGGTGGCCCAGAGACAGAACCAGATCTCCTCCCCTCTCCCCAGCCCTCTTGGCCTGTGACGCGTCTGCTGCTGGGCAGAAAGGAGGGTGGAGGAGCTCACAGTGGTCAGTGTGCCAGTGCTCAGGTCCCGAGGGCCTGAGCCCGCTGAGAGGGCCCCTCTGCCCCTCCCTGTACCTAGCCACAGGAGGTGCTGATCTGTGAGCCACCCTCACACCCCCGCTGTCTCCCACCCAGCCGCTCCTGTCGGCAGAGGGCCAGGCGGCAGGGCTGCGGCTCAGGACGGCTCCCCAGAAAGCCTAGGACTCTGGTCTCCCTCCCATGCTGTTGCCCTACATCATCTTCCTGGGGGACAGCCGCCACAGGCCCCAGGCACAACCCTCTCACCGAGGCCCCGCCTACCCCAGTCCTATGCACCAGGGTCCCACTTGGAAGGGCCCCTTGAGTCCTCTGTGGTCAGAGCCTTGATGGCAGCCCTGCCCCTTCAGGCCCAGACCAGCGGGTCGGAGCAGGCCTCTGGGGAGCCCTGGGCATCCATCCCTGTCATCGTTAAGGCCACCATAAGACCTCACCCTCCACCACCCCGTGCAGCCCCCTCACTCCCCAGACACGCTCCAGGACACAGCCCCAGAGTCAGGGTAGACTTGGTCAGGGCTCTGACACCCACGGCATGGCCCATGATCTAGGAACTGGACTCTGGATTCTCCCCAAGCTGGGCGGGCCTCAGGCACTCCAGCAGAATGGGGTACTGGTGTCACACACGTGGGATCACGGGGCACCTGCATGGGTAGCCTGTGTGCCCAGTGTCTGGCACAGGGAACACTCCCATCAAGCACCCCCACCCTGGTTCCTTTGGCTGGGGGCCTGGGGGGACAGGGTGGGAGTGGCCGCCCCTCCCCGCATGAGTACCAGGATCTCTGGGGGCTCCCTGCTCTCCAGGAGTGTGTATGGAAGGGAGGGTTCCTGGGCGGGCTCTGCGTCCCTGCCTCCTCCCCACACAGGAAAGGGAGAAATATCCAGAACCATTAGGTTCATTAGTGCCTGGGGCTGGGCGGGTGGGAAGGGAGCTCATTTCTTCACTGCAATCCCCTTGGGACCTCTAGGTCACAGTCCATTAGGGAAGCAGGAGCACAGATTTCAGCCGGAAACAGAAATATTCTGCCAGATTATCCCACTTCATCCCTTTTGAATTTGAAAATGGCACACTTGCCAGCAATTAAAGATGTATGAACTGTTCACTGCATGTAAAGACTCCACACATTGCTAATGATACTCTCCTTTTTTTTCTTAAAGGATTCTGGTTTTCTCTCTGTTCTGACACCCAGATTCAGAGGCCCCTCAGACTACAAGCCAGCCAGGCTCCACGGACCCCCAGTGCCTACTGGAACCATCCATGGGGGTCCTTCCTCCTTGCCTGCCCTGCTCTCACAACTGCAGCTCACCCAGAAACACAGGTGACCTGCCAGGCGGGCTCTGCTCAGGTCCCCCCGCAGCCCAGGATCCTCAGAAGCTGCTGGGAACATGCCGTGATTGTGTGGAATCTGGGTCCTTCCATGCTGTGGGCCCTGCTCTGCCCACCTGCTCTGGGTCCAGGGCCAGTCCCTTGCACCTTGGCCAGCAGCGCAAGCGGCCGTGGGCTGGCTGTCCCATCGCACACTCCTAGGAGTGTGGCTTGCACGCAAGACTCAGTGTGCCCCAGGGAGAGGATGCAAACTTGGCAAGGTGTTGAGGGCACACACTGAGACTGGGGAGAGTTGCCCAGCTTCCAAGGCTGTCACTGTAAAAGCTCAGGAAATCCTGCCCCAGGGTCCAACCCAAGTGGCCTGAGGCCCCCAGAAGCCATCAGAGTCAGCACATGCCCCTGCCTGGGTCTGACCCTGACACAGGGATCTGTGCCCAAGGCAGGGACCCAGCGGGTCTTCTGCTCAGATATGCAGGCTTGTCACCTCCAGTAGACATTCTGTGGCCACCACCCTAGTGTCTGGGGCCCCATGGGCACAGGGCAAGTGCTTGGTAGCCAGAGGCTCTGAGTTTCCTGCGGGGGGAGGCTGGGGGTGGGTAGCACCTCCAAGGCCCCACTTCCTTCCTGAGGCTGAGCTCAGTCAGCTTCCCCACCTGCGTGGAAATGTGCCCTCGGTTCTGCGCTGACAGACCTTTGCAATGACCTGAAAGTAGCCCGTGGTGGCATTTGGGAGGCCCGCGCACCCCGCGGCCTCCGCCAGCCCTCCCTGCTGTCTGGGAGCGGGTGCCATGGAGTAGGAAGTCGGGCAGAGGGTGGGGTGCAGACCCCAGGTGCCTGAGCGCTGTAGGGGCTTCTGGAGCTGGTACTGCACACAGGAAATCCTCCAGGATCCAGGCTGGTTGTGTGTGAGTGAGATGGATGTGTGGCCAGACAGACCCCTATAGCAGGAATACGGCCCTCAGACACTTTCTCTTCTGGTTTCTCAGATCCTGGTCATAGCCCGCAAAGTGGGCTTCAGAGTCTCAAACGAGGTAGGAGTCTTGGGCTGCCTAGGGTAGTTTCTGGGAAAGGAAGTGGGAGCCAGCACTGCCTTCCTAGACAGAGAACCAGCATGTTGGGTGAGAGGGAGCGTCCTGGAAACAGCCAGGAGAGCAAGGCCAGCCAGTCCTCCCTGCCCGCACGCAAAGTAAGCAGCTGGCCCAGGTCTGGGCCCCCAGGGGCTGCAGGGTGGTGTTCCCTGCCTCCATGGCCAGCATCCCAGCAGGAGGGCCACCTGTGCACCGCCCCCCTCTCCTTGCACGGCCCCCCCCCACTCCCTTGGACAGGGGACTTCCTACCGCTCTGCTCCTCCCTCCCTTCCCCCAGGTGTCCCCTCTCAAGCTCACCTCTTCAGAAGCCAGCTCTCCAGACCAGGCCTCCCCCCTGCCCCCTGCTCCTCCAGGCCTTCTGGCCCTGCCCTCACTTAGCCCCAGGCACCTGTGGGCCTCCGTGTGGGCCCTGCAGTCCACCCCAGCATCTCTCCTGGCAGAGCTGTGAGGGGCGAGGGAATGCTCCCATTCCCAGAGGTAGGAACTGAAACCCAGAGGAGGGAGGGGCTGGGTGGCGCTCCCCTAGACCCTGCCACCAGAACTCCCTGCACAGAGGCTCCTGAAGAGGGGTATTGTCTCCACCCTCCCCCACCACAGTGGCCCTAGGCCCATCCCTCTAGGCCCAGCCTGACCGGGGTCCCAGCATGGCTCCTCCCTCTCTATCTCTCTGTCCGTCCCTGGCGTCCCCAGCCATTTTGAGCATGCCACTCGGTCCGGTTTTCTAGAAAGAATTTCTCATGGGTTAAAGTAGTAGGCTGTGTACTTTGTTCTAGCTCGGGTCAGGGACCTCCTGCTCTCAGCCACATCAATGCCTCGGTGCAGGGCACAAAGGAAGGCCCCCTGAAGTGTGCTGACCAGTTGGTTGTGGCCTGGAGGGGAGCACAGGGTGGGCTGGGGCCTCCGTGTGGACTGTGAGGCAGGCTCCCTCCCAGGGGCAGAGGCCCCGTACACCCCCGGGGTTCGCAAGGCCTGGGAGCACAGGGCTGGCTCCAGATTGCAGCCCAGGTCCATTCTCTTGCTGGTGGCAGCCTTGAACCACCAACACAGGCCTGGCAGAGCAGGACTTGCAAGCACCCCCACACCCCGTGGAGCCCCTGGGAGCCTCCTCCCCCAGTCTGCCCTCCCTCCCGGCCACCACCTGCGGGACTCCCAGGTCCCTCCCCTGCTTCGCACCTGCAGAGCCCACGTGCTCCCTCTTCCTCCTGGTCCTCCACCCCTCTGGACACTTGGGGCTACTCCGCTGATGACAAAATGTGCATCCTTGCCATGTGCAGCTGGGCCTTCTAGGGAAGTGAACTTGGCCGCTGAGTCACTGCACAGAGCTCCAGGCTGCAGCCCAGGGGCGGGCCCAGGAAACGCTGCAGCCTGTGGGCACTCCTGCCCTCCCCAAGCTCCCCTCACTCCCCTCGCCTGCTGAGAATGATGCCCCCGCCCACCTGGATCAAATGAGGAATCAAAGTGCCAAGGAAGAGGGCAAAGGGCCCTGAGGACACCGGGCAGTGCAGCCTTGACCCACCCAGGGTCAACTCCCCAAGCTAAAAGGTGCATCTGCTCTGACCTCACTGCTCCCCCTTTGTGCCCACCCTTGGGGCCCCCGCCTGGGCGCCGCACAGGACGTGGCAGTGGGACGCAGGCCACCCATGTAGGTGTGCCCTCATGCAGAGTGGGGCATGCACTCCCATCGGCTCCCTATTCCTGGGTGTTCACAGAAGGCAGACTAGGACAGGAGGCTTCTTGGAGGAGGCGGCACTTGAGCTGGGCCTGAATGGTGGGAGGAGGTGGAGATGGAAGGGCTTTCTGAAAGGTGGAAGTGTGCCCATGGGGCAGGGAAGGAGTGCGCTAGCCTAGAGGAGGAGGAGGAGGAAGGGAGGCAGCTTCTCTCCCACAGCCTGAAGCCCACAGCAGGCAGGGGAGGTGGCTGGCCGCCTGCTCTGAGACATGACCCTTTCTGCGGGTGGAGGGGAAGTCTGAGTGGAACTCCCCAGTGCTGGACAGGCCACTTCGGAGCCGGACTGGTGGCTGGGTAGAGGCTGGTCTTTCACGACCTCCCCTCCCTGCCACATTGGAGCCTGAAGCAAAAGAATACCAGTCCTACCAACCGCCCTTAGCACAGGGCCAATTCATGTTCACGTTCATGGAGGATTGGTGCCCTTGATTCTGTGTAGTCAGACATAGCATCAAAGCCCCGTCAGTACCCATGACTGGGTGCTGGCAGCCTCTGAGATGTTCGGCCTGAGGCCAGGGCCGCCCTTGCCGCACCCTGGCCCCAGTCCTGGCCCAGGCTCCTGGTGTCTGGAAACTGTGAGGCCTCTGGAACCTGGACTCAGCCACAAGTCTAGTCTATCTGTGGAGCTGAGCAGACAGAGGACCCAAGCTTCTGTCATCTCCCCACCATGGACACTTTCTGTTCTCCTCTTCCCAGAAACCTGGTCTGGGAAACCTCTTCCCCTCCCACCAGTCTGGCCAGATGAGGGTGCCACAGGGGGAAACAGGGGATGGGGAAACTTGTGGGGGAGGGGGTGCTGGGGACACCATGGGGTGGGAGGGGTCATGGGAGGGGTCAGTCCCACCTGCCATCCATCTCCTGAGTGCCCCTCCCCTCCTCAGCAGGGGGGCCCTGGCCACCCTCTCCTGCTCTTCCTCACAGACCCTCCACCCCCATCCAACATCCTCTTGCCACGAGAGCTCCTCCTCACTCTTGGCAGACTAGTGTCCCTCTCACGCACAGGAAACACTCCGGAACTCCTCCCCAGAATGGAACTGCTGCTGGCCTGTCCCTAAGTCACGCCCCCAGCACTGTCCCCCATTAGGAGGGCTTCTTCTCTCCAGTGTCCCCTGGCCCTGTGGTCTTCCCTTAGCATTCAGACCCAGCTCAACTCCCCAGAGGGAGAGGACAGTCACACCTTCCTGGCTACATTGCCCCCCAAGGCCTCTCCCCTCTGGCATCTACCCTGTACCCCAGGAAATGGCTGGGGTGCATGGAAGGCCAAGGATAAGTTGCCCCCAGCCTCCAGCCAAAGCCCCAGGCCCAGGCCTGTGGGGAACAGCCTCTGAGGGGGCTACTGGAGGATGGCTGCCCTGTTTCCAGAAGTTGGCACGCACATCTGTGGTGGCAGGAAGAGCCTTGTGGTCTGACACTCAGCTCTGACACTTCTTGGCCTCTAGACCTCTCATGCTATCTGTGACCTGAGAGTCGCACACGCCAGGGCTCGACACAGAGGCCACGGGTCTAGGACGGCTCTCTGGAGCCCTGGAGTCCTGGGGTGGGCAGCCCTGGCTCTGGTCATCCAGTGCTCCTGGTCTTGCTCTCTGCGCTTCCCCTCAGCACACCCTCGGAAACCTTCCCCCTGGAGCCCCTTGTTCCCTCTTCACCCTGCGCCCAGGAGGGCACTGCTGGGCCGACTGGGACCCCACAGCGCCAGACAGAGGGTCTGGTCAAGCCAGGCACCCAGACAGCACATCCACAGTCCTTTCCGGATGGAGATTAGCCCAAGCCAGGTGGGAGGGGGGGCTTTGCCAGAAGGGAGAAGCCACCATAGGACAAGGGACACTGGGCAACTTGGGGATATGAGGGCATCCTGAGGGGTCCTGAGAGGGTTCTGAGGTCCTAAGTGTTCCTGAGGTGTACTGAGGGGCCCTGAGGTGGTCCTGGGGTCCTGAGGGGGTCTTGAGGAGGTCCTGAGGGGTCCCTAGGTCCTGAAGAAGTCCTGGAGTCCTGAAGGGTCCTGAGATCCTAAGGGGTTCCCAGGTCCTGAGGCAGCCTGAGGTCCTGAGGTCTTGCAACTTTGGCTGGGTTGCTCCTGCTCCCACTGCTGGCATCCTTTGTCACATCACAGGGGTGGCTCACATGGGAACAAGGGGATCTGAGGGGCCGATGGGGGGTTGCTATCCTGTCCCTCCCACTCCCAATGCCACAGCCTAGCAGACTCACACAGGCTTAGCATGGGAGTTCCCTGGGCATTGCCCTTCCCTGTCCTTCCTTGCATCTACCCCATCCCCTTCACCAACAGCAGGGCGCAGCCTCCCGAAGCCTCTGCCCTCAGACACTTGGGACTAGGCTCTGGCAGCTGTCCACCCCCTTGCCTCCCACCCCCTCTGCTTTGCTCAGCTGCACCTTTCCCCCTAGCTGGAAGATGCCTCGGGGCATCTAGACACCTGCAGGTGACAGAAGTGTCCCCATCTGGCACATCCCATGCCCCATAGCTGCATCCAGCAGGGCAGGCTGCTGCTCTGGGGAGATGGCAGCAGGTGCTGGCCCCATGGCTGACCCCAGGGCCCCCAGCTGCCCTGGGATGGCTCACTCACCCCTGCACAGCTGCTGCTGCCCTCCTCGGGGCTGGCTCCTCAAGGGGCCGTCCTCTGGCCTCTGCTGCTGCTCGGAGCCCCCTGGGACCCTGCCAGACAGGGGTGGTGGGGTGGGGTGGTGCTGCTCCAGCTGCTTTTCACACTGTTGTTAACCTCCTGAACTCGCTCCTTTACTCTGACAGACCTCCTTCCCCTTTGTCTGCCCAAGGCGCTCTGTGGCTGCAAGGCTGGCCGCTGGCCCCATGCCAGGTCCCCTGACTATTCTCACGCCTGGGGATGAGCACCAGCACCAGCACCACCCTACCTCCATCCCCGGGTAGGCAGACACGGTGGTCCTGGAGCCCAGAGCCCACCCGGGAGCTGTCCCCACTCACTGCGCCCACCCTCCCCAGGAGGCCTCCTCTTCCAGGTGGTCCTCCCACCTCAAGCAACTGCCTGCTGAGACTTGCGGGGCTGGGCCCAGGCTGAGAGTGTGACGGGTGGAGAGCACGAGCTCACTCCACCCGGAAGTCACCGTGAATGTCCACAGCTGACATGGAGGGAGCCCGAGAAGGGCAATCTCCCCGGAAAGGGCATGTGTCTTCAGGAGGGGTCCCACCGCCCACCTCCCAGGGCAGCCGGTCTCCTGCCTGGGCTTCTCTGAGCCAGTCTGTGGGCGCGAGGCCCAAGGAGAGGCTTACTTTTCCAGCACCCGCAGAGATGCCCAGACAGGGGTCCTCAGCTTCCCCAGACCAACACTGCTGAGCAATTCCTGCTCGTCCATGTTATTCCCCCTACCGCTCCGAAGGACCACTTCCTCTGGAAGTTGGGCAGGACACCAACGGAGAGCAGAGAGGAACAGATTCACAGAAGAGGAACCATGAGCTAGAGAGGGTTCATTGGAGATCGGAAACAATGCTCAGCATATTCATGAAATGAGAAATAGAAATTAAAAGTGTCCTGCAGCACAATTTGTCCCTGTCAGATGAGGCTATATCCTGGTGTCTGACAGCCATCTCTGGGGGAGATAGCCTCGGATGTCATCTGTTGGGATTTAACGTGATATGAACCCCATCGGAGGGAACCTAGAAATCACACAAACTTAGAGATGCCTTGCCTGTTGACCCAATCATCCTGGTTCCAGGAATCTGTCCCACACACAGACCAGCCCAGTGAGGAAGAGGAGACTGGAGGGTCTATTTCTTGCCGTGCGGTAGGGTAGCACAGCCTGAAAGTCATTCAGACGTCAGAGGGCCTTGCATGCATGAAGTGCTTGCTGTTTACACCGCGGGGCACCAGGAGGTTGTAAAAAGGAAGGAGAAATATTCTATATGTTACTAAATGGTTTTCTCCAGGATAGATTGCTAAGTGAGAAAAAGCACTGATGTGTCTTTATTGATTTACAGCACGCCAGCAGCTTGTCTTTACAAATGGAAGGATAAGCCATTAAATTTGTTTTAAATTAAATTATTACCTACAGGGAATAGGCCGAAAGGAGGTGAAGGGAGACTGGATAGAAACTAGACTTCTATATATAGGAATATCCCTTGGTTTGTGGCTTTGGCTTTAGAGCTACATAATATTTATGTAATTACTAAATTACATTGAATTACATTTTAAAGGACATTTTATTTTTTTTAGATTTTAGATTTTATTTATTTGAGAGAGAGAGAGGGAGGGAGAGAAATTGTGAGGGGGGAGAGGTTGGGGGAGAAGCAGACTCCCTGATGAGCAGAGCGCCCAACGTGGGGCTCGATCCCAGGACCCCGGGATCATGACCTGAGCTGAAGGCAGAGGCTTAACCCCCTGAGCCCTCGAGGTGCCCCAAAGGAAATTTTTAAACTTGAAAGCAAGATAAAAACCAATAAACTTGCATTATCACCTGACAGCACAGTCCTAGCAAACTCTTCCAAGTGATTTTAAAATCCAGTATTTGACTGTCATCTGTATAGCCCGACTACGAAAAGGATGTCAAAAATGCTTCATTTTCTGTAATCATTTTCCAAATAATGTTAAAACCCAGTTTTGTCTTTAGATGTGCATAA